CCCTGCTATCGCAAGCCAAGCCCCCTCTGTGCAACTCCCAAGCCAGCTCCCCCAGTGCAAGTCAGCCCTGTTCTGCAGGATTCCCAGCCAGCCCAGCCCCAGGAGGACACGGGGCAGGACGGCGGTTGCACCTCCCACTTGACTCGCCAACGCCCTGCCATTCTAGTCCTGCCCAGCTCTCCTCTCCTGCTACTCCAGGAGATTCGACTTGTGCCGAATGGCTTTGTTCAGGGGACCAATATCTATGGAGCATTGAGAGTTCCCTCCGTTTTGCATAGGACAATGGGTCACCCCCCTTCTCAGAATCTTTTTGGATGATATTTTTGCTGCCATGGTTACCGTGAGTTTCGCCAAACCCCCTGTGGTGGGTGTAGCTACACAAGCGAGCGCATCTCCTAGCGATTCAGGCTGTAGGACCAGGCAGCGAGCACACCACCCGTCGGGCAGTGTTGTGTCTGGACTAGCCCCTGCTCCGCTGGGAGAAAGGGGGCTCCCACTGGTGGGTAGCACTGTTTGATCACACCAGGACAGCGGCCTGGCTGTGCTAGGTGCTGTACAGGCGTGATGGAAAAGGTGTTTTCCTGCATTTCGGTGGAGAGCGTCAATCGGACACATGGTGATTGCAAGGGATGTTGGCGAGAGGAGGGAGGGGGGAGATAGTTGCATGCGGTGCCAGCCTCCTTGACTCCTGCGGGCAGGGGGTTAGCTGAGCCACGGGGAGAGGGGCTGTGGCTGGCCAGTGTAATCCCCAGTCACCCTAGGAAGCTCTTCCCCACCACTTCCAAGCTGGTGACTGACTGGTGATGGGCTGTTCTGTCGCTAGGCGGCTGCTGGGGGCAGGGGCTGAGAATCTCTGCTGAGCCTCGGCCTGCTCCTCTGGCAGCTGCGTGGAGCTGTGCTGACTGGCCACGGAGCGGCCCGCTTGAGGGGGTGGCTGGGTCTGATGTGGGGAGAGGAATGGGGGGCGGGTCCTGAAGGATGCCCGTCTCCATGTCCCAGAGTACCAACACCGCCCTATTACTCACAAGGCAATGGCTCGCGTAAGCCGCAGGCTGGCGGCAGCCCCTCAGGAGGATGGGCATGGTTAGGACGGCAGTGGGCCACGCTCCCCGTTGGACCGCCATGGGCTTGGGACCTAGAAGCGGAAGGGACGACTTGAGGAAGGGACGGATCTGGCTCCTTGTCACAGCCCCTCGGCTTATTTCTGTGGTGAGCCTGGCCTTGCTGCCGACGGAGGGGCTGTCTGACTCGCTAGACCTGTCCTCCCGTGTGTGAGGGTCGAGGTGACCCAGCTGTTCACCCTGCCGCGCCGGAGCAGCTGCCCTGGAGGAGGGTGCGGTCAGAGGAACCTGGGCAGCGCGATTCTAACAGTGTCGCTTGGTGTGTCGTGCTGAAGCCTAAAACCTCGGAGCCGGGGGTAGACGAGGGACACGAGTCCAGGCCTGACTGAGAGCTCCTTCAGTTGCCAGTGTCTGCAGGCTTCACTGCCTCTTACCATCTGGTTCTTACATCTGCCGCCATTTTGACTTCATCGATTATCGTCATTCGGCGGCGCACAGCAGCCACTGCTCTAGGGCTCATTGTGATGTGTGACGGCGCGTTGGGGGTCCCCCGTCTCCTGCACCCCGAAATGGCACAAACAGACTGCACCAGCCGGTGGAATAGAGGAAGTTTATTGCCTCTCCAGGATACAGCACAGCACAGATGGAATCTGGTCACAGAGCTGGGCTAGGATGCCTCAGGCCCCCTTGAGATGGGGGAGACTGGGCCCCTAAACTCCAGCCCCTTCCCCTAGGCTCTCCTCCATGCTCTCAGACAGAACTAACTAAATTCCCTTCCAGCCCTGCCCCCCAGCCAGGGCAGCATCCACCTTCCTTTGTTCCTCTCCATGGGGGGTGTCTGGCCACTGGTTCAACAAGTTTGGCATTACCTCTGCCTAGTGAGGTTTTCCCTGCTGGGTCTTGCTCCAGACAGCAGGGGTCACCACAGCCCAGCAAGTACCCCCACTACGTCACATGATGTCACAGGTAACTCAGCCAATCACAGCCCTTACTCTACAGCCGATTTGCCTGCAGCCATTTCATTGGTTGCATGAGACTGCCCAAGTGCCACCTGTCCAAATCGGCATGGCCAGAGGTGCACAACCCCCTCGGACGCAAATCCGAACAGCCAGCCCACGCCACAGCGCCAGACACACACAGTCCTGTGTGCAACGCCCACCCCTCACTTTCTGCCTATACAAATCCAAATGACTTGCCCACAACACAACAAGCGCACACCATAACCCCCAACATCGCTCTGACGCCAGGAACCCCAGACACACACAGTCCTGTGTGCAATGCCCACCCCTCACTTTCTGCCCATACAAATCCAAACGTCTTGCCCACACCACAACACAACAAGCGCACACCAGAACCCCCAACATCGCTCTGACGCCAGGAACATCTGAGGCAGCCTGAAGAGGAGAAAACCACGGCAATTGTGGCTAGGAGCTCCCTTTCTTAGACTGTGAGCAGGTTCAGTCATCAGTGGGACTGCAGTCTGGTGCTGCCCAGTAAAGTGGAGGGTGGGGGTGTGTCACTCCAGAACAGCTGGAGTAGCCCCCCATTCTTCCTGCTGCAGGGGCTGCTTCAGTCCAGCTGAGACAGGCCCCCCTGTGGGGCTGTTACAGCCCCCTACTTATGGCAGGTGGGGAGTTACTCCAGCCCCACTGGAGTTAAACAGTCACATCCCCTATTCCGGTGTTTAAATTCTCCGCCATCGTCAGCTTCCTTCGCATGTGATTTTGCAAGCCAGGCCTGTGCTAATCCCTGGGACCTGAACGCCTGCACTTTTGTGAAGTGCCAGTGGCTGCGTCTCTGTTGTCAGGGAGGCCTGAGGACAACTTCACGAGAGGTACCCAGGCATTGGCAGCGAGGAAACCTGCATCGCTTGACTCGTAATCGGATCTGATTTGTTCTGGGAGATGGTAAAATGAAGCCCCATCACGGCCTCTTTACAAAGCCCCTTCTTACGAGTATATCGTGAGAGCAGCCCGTTACTGAAGCTGGGTTAGCTGACCCTGCCAACCAGTTTCTTAGCCTGGGGAGTTGATCCCTCGTGTGTCAAATTCTAAAGGCAAATTTTGAGCCATCGTAGGTGCTTTAATTCTTGTCTTATCTTGCCCCACTTTCTTCACAATAGGAAACGTCCCAGCTCCCGACGCTTCCCAGAAATCCCCTAAGATGTCTCAGGAAAAGGAAATTGTATGAAACAAAATGTGGGGTGGGTGGGTTGGTTGAGGGGGGCGTGTTTTTGTAGGGTGACATACTTGGTTTTTGGGAGAAGGGCTTGGCTACGAATCATTTTCCCACCCACTCTTGCTTTTCACATTCTGAGTCTGGCTGGGAGGGT